TTAAAATGTGGTAGGGAAGCTGTGTTTCATGTTCTGTGTATGATCCATGCAGAATGAGTGTCATTGAACCTTGAGGACTTTGTTACCAGAGAGGAAGGAAAGACTATCACAGACCAGTCACTCTTTTCCTGTTGAATTACTCCAATCTGTCTGAAGACAGGAAAAGCTTGTCAAGGAATACTGTGGTGTTACTTCAGAAAGCGCAGGCAGTTGAAGGAAACATTTCTTCTATATTTGTAGTTCACATAAGCAGCTGGTGGCAAATTATACCCTAAAGATTATGATACAGACTGCAGCATCTAGTGGTCAGTTTACACCTGATCTCTGATTGCAAGCCATGCACATTAGACAATGTTATTTCCACTGCTTACTTCTGCTATTTCACTGTATAACGTAGAGCAAACATAAAAATGAAGAAATGCAACTTAATGGCTTTGTCTTTTCTTTCTCTGATCACTGAGAAAGAAACCCATTCCAGCTCAGGTCATTCCGTTGCTTCAGCAGCTACTGAAGACTAAACTCTCTGGTTGTAGAAAGCTGCACCGTCTCTGTGGGGAGGAGAGGGCTGTGTGCTCATGTGGGAGGCTCCCAGGTCCAGGTTTTGTCCAGGCAAGTCTCAGCTTGAGATAGCCTGGTACTGCCTTGCCAAACATCTCTGTGGCCACTGGCATCAGAAGGCACTCAGCCCCCAGGCTGTGAAGTTTGCTGAGGATGCTGTGTTTATCTGAAGAAGATGAGGAGTCCCAGGGTGAAATATCATCTGATAAGAGTGAATTCTTCCATCTCCACCCTCTCATTAGTGTCTTCTCTTTAGTGGTTTAGATTCTTGGAAAGTTAATCGAATTTTTACTTTACTCCAGACGAGCACCGAATTCTTTTCTCAGATGTTAAATTCATGCTGTCTCTCCCTCGGAGTGGGGGGGCCCTTATCTTAAAGGACTCATTACTGTACATCCCACACATATAGAGCACCTATATCATTAAAATAGCCTGTTTTTATTTTACTGGGAGACATCTTGTCACAGTATCTCAAACAGGGCACAGTAAATGTATAACTGAAGAAAAACAATTTGTATAAAAATTACAATCAATTAGCTATCAAAACAATTTATCAGGGAGCACTTAGCACAGCACGCAGTAAGAACAGAGATAACATTCATCCCATCTTATTATTTCTGAGTGGTCCCTGCAATGCAGTCAGTATGTAGACCATATTGACCATACAGTCGGGGTTCATCTGTCTTATTTTACAGGACAGAAGTCAACACTTAAAGGCACAAGCACTTTTGGGCCTAACTCAGACAGCAAGAAGGCTGTTTTACTGGGGTAAGATCCAATTTACCAGCTGTATTCTTTTCTCAGTCTCCTTAAAACTACAGGGATGAAACATTTCAAAGTACAGAACGAAGGGTGAGTTATTAGACCAGGCAAAGTCTCAGTGTGAAGTCTGCATGGGGATTGGGACAACACAGTGGGTGCTGTGGAGTCCCTGATGTTCACCTTAACTGCTCAGCTGAAGGGTTAAAGGCAACTTCAGCTGAAGTGCATTCATCTGTCTTCTCAAATAGATAAGAGGGTTGTTTTGAAATGCAGGAAGACAAGAGTGAACATGCAAAAGCAATTACTTCCAGGAACGCTATGGAATTTTAAGTGCCAAACCTTTCAGTGAGGCAGCAAGTTAATGACAATATTTTAAATGCCCACGTTTTCATAAAGTCAACACAAACAGTGTGATGAAAAAGTATAGGCTCTTAAGATTTTATGGTTTAGTATGTTAAGATATATTTGATCTTCACCTAGTCCTAACAGTAGATAAGACTAACCTCATTTTTTCAAATACACACAAATTCCGTTTTCTGTTATTTATTTAATGGGTCAAATATGTGTCTAAGTATGTTAAATCATAACATATTAAAGGGGTGTACCTATTTTTTTCACCGCACTGTAAACATCATGACTGAGCACCATGTCACGAAACCTCAGTAATTAACAGTAACCAGTCCATTTGCTTCTGTATCTTGAATCACAGCACTGTTCTTCACTTCTGCGCTTTTCTCTGGCTCAGCTGCGCCTCTCCTGAAGACTGCTGCTCTCCGGCCATGTTCCTACAGCAGCCTCCAGAAGTGAAAAGCTTTGGCGATCTTCTGCCGCAACAGAGGCAATATTGCAGTCGAACGACACAAAAGAAATTCAGTGAAAAGACCTCGCAGCTCTGTCAGATAACATAAGCATTCCCAGAACTGCATGGCTCACATACAGTATGGCCAACTTGTGTTCGCCCCAGGGAGAAACGGGAAGCTTTGGCTGCACTTGACAGACAGAAACACACATTAACCCTCCTCTGAGAAAGGTGTGGTGGCTCTGTGGCTCAGGATCTGCTCCTGTGGCTGGAAGGTTGCCAGTTTGTATCCCGTGGCCGGCAGAGGAATCCTACTCCATTGGGCCCCTGAGCAAGGCCATTAACCCCAGCTGCTCCAGGGGTGCCGTATAAACGGCTGACCCTGTGCTCTGACCCCCAGCTTCTCTCCCCGTCTGTGTGTCTCATGGAGAGCAAGTTGGGGCATGCAAAAAGACAAATTCCTAATGCGAGAAGTTGTATGTAGCCAATGAAGTGATCACATCAGACTGGAGCCAACAGGTTCCACTTGTTTCATCGTTGTGCAATGGCCAGCATGAGGCAGGGACACCTGCTGATACACGTAAGAATGGAAGAATCTAAGAAAGGCCACAAAAGAGAGAAGACTTTTTGGCCCGTCGAGCCCATCTGTTAGTAAGAAGTTGAAATAAACCAAGGTATTCTATCAGCTTCACTGACATGGCTGGGTAGCTCGTTCCACACTCCCACAACCCTTTGGGTAAAGAAGTGCCTCCTGTTCTCGGATGTCATGCACTATTACACACTATTTTCATATAGAAAATAGAAAATGTAATAGAATATATGTACTGGGTGAGTGGATTTGTGTAAGGACTGTGCCTCCTATTCTCAGTTCTAAATGCACCTCCATATAGTTCCTGTGTAGGTTCCACCTGTGCTCGTTGTTTCGTGTCTCACTGTTCCTTCTGAAGTGATCTGCTGGGTTGACTTTCACAGTGCCCCGGAGGATCCTGAATACTTGAGCATTAACTCACAAACAGGGATTGCCAGCTGTCATACACTGACGTATATTAGCGGCTGTATTTCTGAAATTTAACCAGGCCTCCACATTTCTGATACCCCTTAGCCTCTCATTAGCTCTTGCCATCTGTTTATGGCCAACGGCTTTCAGCCGAACAATCCCACACCTGAGCCGGAGCAGAACATAAGGCTTTAACAATTACACAAAGTCGTCATTTCCATCAGATCAGTATGAAGGCCAAAGGTGTTCAGATTTTTATGTCTCTGCTAATTTACAGTTTGCATGCTTGCACATATTCCCTGAGTGATCAGATAATGATGGGGCATAGCACTGCAGCCCCAGTGCAGTGAGAGGACACCATAGTCAGCAGTCGCTGTGCAGAGCCTTTGATGTTCTGGTCTGTGAGAGGCCGTTTA